ATATATATATATATATATATATATATATATATATATATATATATATATATATATATATATATATATATATATATATATATTTATTTATTTATTTATTTTATTTTATTTTATTTTTTCAACCTATCTCAAAAATTACAAAATATATATATATATATATTTATTTATTTATTTATTTTATTTTATTTTTTTGAAATACTCTTTTTCACATGATAGAATTAAGGACAGGGCATGAGGAGCGAGCGTTGGAAGTGGTTTTTTGACGTGGGAATTGGACTCATTGGCACGTGCGTTTAACGGTGTTGGTGTTTGCACGTGTGGAAAGTGATTTTGGGGTTTGAGCCGGCGTATGCACGTACGGATACTGCTTCTGTTATTTTTCAAAATTTTTAATTATTGATTTTAACTTTTAATTTATTTTATTAGTTTTTATTGGACCAACTGTCAATATTAAAATATACTTTTTTTTAATATATTTAATACTAACGAATTCTGTTGGAATAATTTATTTGATACTGAAAAATAATACATTTGTACAAAAAAAAAAATTAATTATCTAAATAAAATTTTGTGTACAATATGTCGGTAAGCTTTTAAAACGATCACAAATTATTTGTTGGTTTATAACGGGTGGTTTAATTTAATTGCACGATTAAAATAGTTCTGACTAAAAAAGTTACCTTTACGATGATCCGTTAGAGTTGCTTGTGAATAAAATTGTCGTGAATAAATACTCCAGACGTGTATGTGTGAAAGTTTTAAAATTGTTTTGAGGTTTAAGTGATTCATATTTGGTTATGAGTTTGCAAATAAAGCTACCGAAAGGATTGTTGATCTCGGGGGAAAGTTACTACAATCTTTCAGCGACATTGAACCAATGTTCGTCATTTGAACTCTTTCAACTCAAGCTTGGAATCATCGATTAAAACGTAGAGTCGATCAACATTGTTGGCTAACGCTAGAGTGGAAGTGGGAATGTTCGTGCCATTTGTCTACCTCGACGAGGAGCTAGATGTCATCGATAAGAGGGTTGAGCAAATTGTTCATTAACGATCTAGTTTGTTATCAATATATAGAGTTGTCAAAGTATGTGGTTGCTCTTTTCTTTAATGTCTTCTATTGCATGATGTTCTTGATATTAGACAATTGAGTTTTGAACATCTTTTTATCCTCGATTCTCGTGTTGATTTTACTATTATACTTTCCTTGTTTAGAGTGTCATATATTTTGATTATAGGTATGATGCAATCAAACAATAAAGATATCCAAAAATGAAATAAAATAGTGAGACTTCATATCGGTTGGAGAAGAAAACGAAACATTGTTTATAAAGGTGTGGAAACTTCTCTCTTGTAGATGCATTTTACGATTATGAGCCGATGGTGATAGGTAACGGACTAGTGCTAACAATATCTACCGACGGTGATAGGTACCGAGCCAGAGTGAACAATATCTACTAATAGTGAACTTGGACGGTTATAAATAATATCAGAGGCAGGCACCAAGTGGTGTGCTAGCGAGAATGTTGGACTCCTAAAAAGGGTGGATTATGAATTCCCACATTGCATGCAGTGTGCCAGCGAAAATGTTGGATCCCCAAGAAGAGTGGATTGTGAGCTTCCACATTAGTCAGAGAGGAGAACGATGCATTTTCTTATAAGAGTATGAGAATCTCTCCCTAGTAGACACGTTTTAAAATCGTGAGGCTGACGATGATACATAATAGACCTAAGCAGACAATTTTTGCTAGCGATGGTCTTGGGTTGTTACAAATGGTATCAAACCAGACACCGAGTAATGTTCTAGCGAGGACGCTAGACACCCAAAGGGGTGTATTGTGAGCTCCCACATCGCAGGCGGTATGCCAGTGAAGACGCTAGACCTCCCAACCTACTGACGACGGGCTTAAACTTACAAAAAAAAAAAAAAAAAATAGTTGGTGAACTATAAGCTATAATTCATGTGGACCTATGGGCTAAATGTGATCCAATAAATATAACAAAAGAATTAGTTTCAACCTATGGTTCGGAAAATAATGACAACTAACACATCCGACAACCCATCTATCTTTTCCCATCAACATAACAAATGTGCTCATCAGTACCTGCCCATAAGACTTTTGATTTTGGGAAGAAACAATTTGCTAAAAAATTTACTTCACGTCTCATTTGTTTTGTTGAGGCTATTTTATCATCCCATGTTACTATGAACAAGATTTTGATTGATTTTTTGTGTTACGAGTATCATTTTAAATACACAGGTAGATATTAGAGCTGCATGTATTGGAACCATCTTTTCAAGTCGGCTATTCTTGTCGAAGATTATTTTGGGGAGCGAACAATATTATACCATTAGGAAGGAAAATCGATCATTCATGATTTGTTCGTAATTATAGTTATCACCTCGCTGTGACAAAAGAATGTTTTATAAGGGTGTGGTGACTTCTAAATGAATGTCTTTTTTCTACATAAATGACAAGTGACAGATTCATTAATTATGGAGAGCATTTCT